TGTGCACTAGAGGATTGTGGGAGGAACATCTAGCCCCTGATAGGGGGTCTGGCAGGGCACCCCAAAACACTGAGGAGCTCTTTTGGCCTCTGGCAGGACTGGGGCTGTGCAGCCCTGTACTGAACAGGATGTGCAGCCAGGGGGTCACCATGACTTGAAGGGTCAGGGGACAGAAGGCAGTAGGAGGTGAAAGGACCATTCTAATTCATAACTTGCAAGGGAGATACCATGTAATAAGAGTGACTTTCCTAGGGAAGGCTCATCCATTGTACTTCGGAGGTGTTACAGATCTCTATGATTTCTCCAAATGTGGAAAGCTATGTAATCTGTGTTAATGGTCATTGTCCTTGTAATTACTCTAGTGTTTTTATAACTTCTTTATCCTTTGGTTGTTGGCTATTTTCACCATGTTTTATTATTTAAACTTGTAGCTTTATCCCTATTGGCAATGCTTTGTAAGATGGTTTTTTCCTCCTTACTAAAACATGTTAATTATCTAAGATTAGCTTTTCTTATCCTAAAAGTGGAGAAAGTATATGTTGCTACTTTTCTAGGAGGCAAACCCTGGAAAGCTAGCAGCATGCACTTTCTCCTCTACTTTTTTGGGATAAAAAAGTAGGTCTTATGTAATTAATGTGTGTTCCAATGGGGGGAATCTATAATGGACCCTCTACTTAAGGAATTAATCTGTTTTGGAATGGTGGCTGCAAGTTGAAAAGTCTGTAAGTGGAATCTCCATTGACCTACAATGCACTGAAAACCAATTAATTCCATAACCAGTGGTTTTTATTCTATTTTTATTTCATTTTGGTTTTTTTCTGGTCTGTAAGTCGATTCTCTGGCTACAAGTCGAATCTAAATTTTGCAGCCAGAGAAGTCTGTAACTCGAAAAGTCTGTAAGTCGAGCGGTCTATAAGTTGAGGGTCCACTGTATCTTGTGAAACAGGGTCCAAAAAACCTGTCCTGTGTGACCCAAACATTGTCCAGTGAAAAATCTATAGGAACAATTGTTTTGGAAAGCATAACATTACTCAAAAAAAGTCATTATCTAGCTCAGTGGTTCTTAACCTGGGCGATAATGCCCCCCAGGGGGCGATTTCATTTTTCAGGGGGGCAGTAGAACGAAAAGGGGCGGCGTGGGGGCGCTGGAGCAGAAGGGGGGCGGTAGGGGGCGCTGGAGCAAGCCAAACCTGTGAAGATGGCTGCAGCCTTTTTACAATGTGCATGAATATATATTTTCCTCCTATCTTAATTTAGTTTCAGAGTTTTCGTCTTGAAATTTTTAGTTCATGCATTTTATGCCCTCTTTATATTTCTTTTTGAGTCTTAAAATTCGCTTGCAACTAAATCATTAAATGTTACTTTTTGGGGGCATTTCATTTTCTTGGAATTGAATTTTGTTTTCAGGGGTCATTGGATTTAAGTGTCTTAAATAAACAAACAAACAAACAAACAAACAAGATATAATAAGAAATAAAGGGGGGCGATGATAACTTCCTCAATGGCTCAAGGGGGCGTTTCTTTCAAAAAGGTTAAGAACCACTGATCTAGCTAATTCATCGGTTGCGGAGAGGCACCACTGTATCTTGATTTCAGGCACTGTAAAGTTGACATGTTAATATACTGCAACATTCAACACTGCTTTGGAAAAAGTGAAGGATAAGACTGGCTCCTCTCTAAGAATCCCAGTGTAGTGTCTTTTTTTGCTCTTTTTATAGTTTTTACATGTACATCAGAACATCTTTAAAAGAGTCAGGTTTATAGAGATGACTTTCTTATAAGCTGGTTGGAAAGGTTTTTATTATGCTTCCATTTCCTGAATATGGTATTTACTGTTATGAAAATTACTCCTACTTCCTATTATCACTTGAATAATGTGTGTGACTGAATGCTTCCTTTCATAAAAGAATACTAGTTGTGTAGCCTAATCTATTTATATTTACTTGGACACAGGCCTGCCTGGTATAGAGTGGGATACAAAGGGAGGATGTAGGACTACACTTGCTCTGTTGAGTTTACAAAGAGATAACTGGGAAATCTTTCCGTAGTAAACACTTATTGTTTCTTAGAGAAGGTTCACAAAACCTCAAAAAAATTATCTATTATTTCCTTGCATTTCTATGATAATATTATCTATTACTTCCTTGCATTTCTATGTTAATATGAGAGACATTAAACTACAAATCTATTAATGGAATTAAAACATTTATTAGGTAATTTAACTTCAAGATATATTATAAGAGGTGTGTTGCTCAATTCAGGATTCAGTAAAAGGAAAAGAAAATGCAAACCAAGCAAGAATAAACATTTGTTTTTATTTCCTTTGTACAAGTAGTCTTTGCTAATGCTTTTAGAAGCAATCTACATTGCAGTCTCTATTTAAACTTTTCTTTAACATTATGTAAAATTCATATTTATGTAACCTCATCAATACAAAATGAACACCCCTAACATAGTCTACAAACAAGATAGTAATAAAATAAACAGCCGCATACATGCATTTTGTGCCATTTAATTTTTGTGTGTGTGCAGATATCCAACTATAGTCCTTGTCGCCAGGTTGGGACAGCCCTATAAAGAGAAACAATAGTTAAGTATTTCTTAACGAGTTCAATGAAAATATACCATTATCCTTTAATTTCCTCACCTGTGTGGAATATGCAAAAATGGCTCTGAACCCAATGGTCCAATTTCTTTTGTTCGTTCTTCCCAAACTTTTGTAGTTTTGTACAGCCTATGTGGGTCCCTGGTTATATTAATTTCAACCTGTTGAAAAAGTTAGAATTCATAATAAAAGGGCAGCAACTACAGTTTCGTGAAAGACAGAATACTTTTGAAACAGATATTCTAAACTCCAAACAACTAGCCCATTGTCCGTCCACCTATCTATATTTTGCCTTATACTGATGTTTTAGTTCCTACACTTAAAATAAAGTGAACATATGATCTCCAGAAGTAGAACTGTACCTCCCATCAGTTTTATCCATTATAGCTGTAAAGACATGATGGGAGTTGCACTCTTACAACATTCAGAGGGCAACTTGTTCTCCACCCCAAATACAAGGTCAACCTAACAGTGCTGACAGAAGAGACGCAAGAAAGAAAGGGAGGAAACTGTTAAGCTCAGAGGAACCGAAGGTTTTCAGGGCCATAAAAAGTTTAAGATATTGGCTTTTGTCAATTTAATATCCCTCCTTTTAGGATAAGATTTTATACTTTTAGGATATCACATTTGCTTCCAAAGCAGAAGTTTTAAGAACACTTAAGATAATGGTTCTGATCCTTACATTTACGACAGAAGTAGTACTGTTGAATCTTTCTCCTCATACTGCAATGTATGATTAGGAGAAATGGGGATCTTTTGCGTAGAGTGGACAATAGCCTTGTATATGCACAAATATACAATGGGGTCTTGACTTGAGAACTTAATCCGTATTGGAAGGCAGTTCTCAAGTCAAAAAGTCTGTAGGTCAAGTCTCCATTGACCTACAGTGCATTGAAAACCGATTAATCCCGTAACAGGCCGTTTTTGTTCCATTTTGGTTTTTTTCTGGTCTGTAAGTCAATTCTCAGGCTGCAAGTCAAACCTAAATTTTGCAGCCAGAGAAGTCTGTAACTCAAAAAGTCTGTAAGTCAAGCCGTCTGTAAGTCAAGGGTCCACTGTACCTAAGAAATAAATGGAACGGCGTTCTATCGCAGCAGATCGCCTCTGCTTATTTAAATCAAGCTTTATGATTTGGGAAATCAATGAAAATCTTGTTCTATGTTTACGTACGCATAAGAAGAATCGTGTAAATTGTTGTGGCTAATGAACCAAGTGGCTGGAGTGTGGTGATCATTATAGAAAGCTCTGTAATCTTTGTCATTTTTGTACATTAAATTTTTTTGAAAATCTCAAACGTTATACAGTAGTACCTTGACTTACAAACTTAATCCGTTTTGGAACGGCGTTCATAGGTCGAAAATTTCGTAAGTCAAAGTACCATTTTCCATTTAAATGCATGGGATCCATTAGAGCATTTCAAAAAATTACCTTCGGAGGTCTCAAAGGGCTTTCCCCCCGACATCGGAGGAAGCCCTTTGAGAGCTCCGAAGGCAAAAAGGCAGGGAGAAAGGGCTGGAATTTCGAATTTCCAGCCTTTTCTCCTTGCCTTTTTGCCTTCGGAGGTCTCAAAGGGCTTTCCTCCGCTGTCGGGGGGTAAAGCCCTCTGAGAGCTCCAAAGGCAATGAACAGCTCCGTTTGCAAAAAATGGCATTGACTTGCGAACGGAGCCTTGACCTCATTTGTAGGTCAAGGCTCCACTCGCAAGTCGATGCCAATTTTTGCGAACGGAGCCATTCGTGAATCAAAAAGTATGTAACTAGGGCTGTTCATAAATCGAGGGTTGACTGTAATCTAACATCATAAATTATAACAGATTTCTAGAATAAGATAAAACCAACAATTTAAAAGAAAGAGGCACTTCACCAAATTCTGCAATTACTTGTGCAATGTTGTCTGCATACATCAGAAACCTACAATTAAATCCTAGCTGTAATGTTTTGTACCTATCTGCCATAATTAAGTTCAAAACAAGATATTTCACTCTAGAGACAAGGTCCTTTTCTTAACAGCTATAACCATTTTGCAAAAAGTTTCAGTTATTACGTACCATTTCTCAGAAATCTGAATTATACTATGTTGCCAAAACACATATATAATCATCTTACAGCTTCTGACAGAAATGCTGGTTACTTTAGCCAGATTTACAGCTTTGTATTATACATATCTGCTAAAAATGAGCCCCACTGAGTAATGAGACTTACTCCCAGGAAAACTTGACAGAGGATTATAACTTGACAATGCAGTCTTAAATGCCTACACAAGAGAATACACTCCACTGAAATCAGTGTAGTTTACACTTGACACACACACAAAATTGCATTGTAGGATCTGCTCATAATGACAGCAAACACAGAAGCACTTTATTTTTAAAATTAATACTGCACAGCCTATGCTGGAAGTAACTTAGACCTAGGATGTATTAATGTATTACCTTTTCTTTTAACCTGGACAGTCTTTTTTCTTTTTCTATCTTTTCTTCTTCTTTTGCCTGTTTTTCTAGAATCTTAAGCTCCAGTTTCTGCAGATCCTGAATAAAGTACAATGAAATAAAAATTTATAGTAATAATGATAGTAATAATTTAAAAACTGTTACGTAATGAAAAGTAACATTCAATGTTATGTTTACAGGACTAAAATGACCAAAGAACTACCTATTTCCTAAAGAGCATGAATGCACTTCTATTTACCACAGAAAGGCACCACATCTAGACCTATATTTATATGTACATCTTCAACTCCTATAAGACAGGAAGGAAACAGAAAAAATAGCTATGCTTTATCCATAGCCTCACTAATTTCTTGTTCATTCTGAGTTCTATTCAAACTGGCACTGTTCATTTTTAAAGTCTTCCACATAGGTTAGGACTTGGTGGACTGGTCAGGACATGGTGGACCATCCACTCCTTTATCAAGTTTAACTGGCCCTGAACAAGGTGCTGTTTCAAAAGACCTACATTTGTCATTTTCCTGAAAACGTAATAAAAAAACCCTGTCAAGACCATTTGTAATACAAAAATCTCTTTGCTTCCCTGAAGAGAATCACCACTGGAAAACAAAGCAATTAACCATATGTCTAAAAGGAAAATTGTGTAACAAGGAAACTTGTCGTGTATTAACAGTTTCTTTTTTCAGCTGTTCTACACCAGGCTTCTTCAACCTTTTATCCTTCAGCGTTGGACTATTTACAGTGGTGCCTCGCAAGACGATGTTAATTCGTTCTGCGAAAATCGCTGTCTTGCAAAAACATCGTCTTGCGAAACGCAGTTCCCCATTGGAATGCATTTAAATCTATTTAATGTGTTTCAATGGGGGGAAAATTGTCATCTTGCAAAAATCGTCCATAGAAAACATTGTCTTGCGAAACGCGGTTCCCCACTGGAATGCATAGAAATCTATTTAATGCGTTCCAATGGGGGGTGGGGAACCTGCATTGGGAG